TCCCCCCCTGGTCTCCCCTCTCCCCCCCTCCCTCCCCGACGTCCTCTCCACCCCCCCCCCTCCTCCCCTTCTTCTCCCCCCTCCCCCCTCACCTCCCCCCCTGACGTCCCCCCCCCCCCGACGTCCTCTCCCCCGACGGTCCTCCTCCTGGCCTCCCCCCCCCTCCCTTCAGGCTCTCCAGCGCGGCGACCATGGCGCTCCGAGACCGCGTGCAGCTCATGCCCGCGGTGGCGGACCGCCAGGCTCCGCCGCCGCCGGCGACGACGCAGTCGGCGACGATAACGACGAGGACGACGGTGGCGACGGCGACGGCGGCGACTGGGACGACGAGGACGGCCGCGGCGGCGACGGCGAGAAGGAGGGCGACGATGAGGACGAGGGCGAGGCGGAGGAGTCGAGGGAGGAGAGGAGAGAGGGAGACAGGGAGGGAGGTAGGGAGGGAGGGGAGGAGGAGGAGGAGGAAGAGGATGAGGATGAGGATGAGGATGATGATGATGTTGATGATGATGATGATTATGATGATGATGATGCTGATGATGATGACGATGCTGATGATGATGATGCTGATGATTACGATGATGATGGATGACGATGATGATGCTGATGCTGATGCTGATGATGATGATGATGACGATACTGACGATGATGACGATGATGCTGATGATGATGCTGATGATGATGATGATGTTGTTGATGATGATGATGATGATGATGATGACGATGAAGATGATGATGATGATGATGATGCTGATGATGCTGATGATGATAATGATGATGATAATGATGATGATGCTGATGATGATGATTATGATGATAATGATGATGATGATGATGATGATGATGATGATGATGATGATGATGATGATGATGATGATGATGATGATGAGATGATGATGATGATGATGATGATGATGATGATGATGATGATGCTGATGATGATGATGATGGATGATGATGATGTGATGATGATGATGATGATGATGATGATGATGATGATGATGATGATGATGATGATGATGATGATGATGATGATGATGATGATGATGATGATGATGATGATGATGATGATGATGAGGAGGAGGAGGAGGAGGAGGAGGAGGAGGAGGAGGAGGAGAAGGAGAGACATACGTGAAAGACAGCAGCGCAGCAGCAGACGACATCGAACGACTGAAATTGGACTCCTGCAGGGGCGACCCTGAAGATGAACAAACACCGCCCAACTGGGGAGACCCAGCTGGGCATCTTCAGGCTGCTCACGCTGATGCAAACTGATAGGTGCCACACGAGGATGCCGAGTGCTTTTGGCCGTCTAGTCCAGACGAACCAGGGGCACCCGACCCAGATAGGGCGTTAGCAAGTTCAATCCGACGGACCCCTTGATGACGCAGCTGCTACCTGCGCCCGACGAAGATGATAGAATTCAGTTTGCTGTTTTTATTGGGGGGGGGAGGGGGGGAGGACGGCTGTGGAGGGCCCCAGAGGCCTGCGGAGGCCTTTTGTCAGGCGATCGCAGGGGCGTGGATTAGCGACGGTCCCGTTTCCATGCTTTCCGCCGCCGAGCGAGGCGGTACCGGCCGCATTTTGGGGGAGGTGCCGCGCGCCAAATCCATGGATCGTTAATGCATGTCGCGCCCCCGAGCTTGGGACCTTGGGGGACCTCCGAAGGCCCTTCAGAGACCTCCAGAGACGACCGGGTCGTCGCCCTGGAAGCTCTTGGGCGCTTCTCCGCAGGCTCTTGTCGCCACGGCTGGACGCGGCCCGGGACGCTGGTTGGGGTAGACCCTGGGAGGGGGCTGGGGGACCTCTGGAGACCTCGAGGGCGAGGACGACGGCGTCGCCGCTTCGCAGGTCCCCGGCCGTTCCTGGAGGCTCTCGCTGCCATGGCCAGGCGTCGGGGGCGTGGTTTAGGGCAGACCCCAGGAAGGGCCCAGGGCCTCGTTTTGCGTGGCTTCCGGCCTGGTCCGGGCCACGCTGCGTGGGCGACGAGGGCTTTCTTACGCCCTGGGGGCGACGACGACGGTGCCCACGCCCCTGGCCGGGAAGCTCTCGGGCGTTCCTCTGGAGGTGCTCGTCGCCACGGCCGGGACGCGGCCAGGGAGACAGGTCAGAGCGGACCACAGGAGGGGTCGGGGGCAGGGCGGCGACGACAACGGTGCTCCCGAGAACCAGGAGGACGAGGAGGAGGAGGATTAGGAACAGGAGGAGGAGGAGGAGGAGGAGGAGGAGGAGGAGGAGGAGGAGGAGGAGGAGGGTTTAGGGTTTAGGGTTTAGGGTTTAGGGTTTAGGGTCCACTAGCCCAAACTTGCAGCCCACTTGACCGTGTCCCACCCACCCATGACCCAAGACATATTGATCTCGATGCGGTATCAACACGCGACTCGCAAAACGACGACGAGGACGACACCGATGACGACGACGTTGATATTGTTTTCAAAACGACGACGACGCGGCCGCGCAAAGACACCTGGGACGCGGCTGCAACGGCGACGCGGCCCGCGCGCGTGACGACGCGATTTGAAGAACCACGTTTTTTGACGCGAGTCCCTGTGCGATGCAGGGACGCCGCCCAGCGGCGGAGAGGTTGCACGCAAAATCCACGTTTATTGACGCGAGTCCCTGTGCGACGCAGGGACGCCGCCCAGCGGCGGCGAAGTTGCACGCAGTGGTTGCCCAAGGCGCGCGGGATGACTCGTCGCCCCGAAGAGAGGGATCCCCCTGTGCATCCTCGGGACTGCGCCGCGGCGCGCAAAGGCCGATGCAAGGGCGATGCGACGCGCGCGCGCGCGAAGCGACATCACATGCTCCCCGCGGCAACTTGGCGACGCCTCGGCGATGCATTGCGCAGCTTGACACGAGGCGCTCGGGGCGAGTCGTTGCTTGGTGAGAGTCACCCCATGTTTGTTTCCTTGGCCCCGCGACGCGACGCGCGACGGCCGATGCGTTGGCGATGCGACGCGCGCGCGAAGCGACGCAACGGGAAGGCCCCCCCCACACTGAACCGCACCTGGCCGCTGCTTTGGCGATGCATAGCACAGCCTGGCGCGAGGCGCGCGGGATAGTTCGTTGCTTCCACGCGAGGGCCTCTTTGCGACTGACAAGCGCGCGACGGCCGATGCAATGGCGATGCGACGCGCGAGCGCGCGGAGAGCCAAACGGGGTAGGTCCCCGCGGCAGGCTGCCGACGCATTGGCGATGCGTCGCCCAGTTCGGCGCGCTCGCCATGGGATCGCGCTTCGCGGCGTCCGTCGAGCACGGCTCGAGCTCTCCGTCGCGCCCCCTGCTGCCCTCTTGGCCTCTTCGACGTCCGCCATGCGCGCCATGGGTCTGCTCGGCTCTCCGGCCCGCGCTGCCTCCGCCGACGCCGGCAAAAAGCGCGCGTTCGAGCCCCGCGCGCGGGAAGGGCGGCGCGAGAAGCTTCGCCGGGCAGACCATGTCTGCTTCGCGCTCCTTGACCACGAGGGGGAATCGGTGGTGGACAAGGCGCGGCGGCGAGGAAGCAAGGAGTGGTCGCGTGCGCGAGCATTGGTGCGTTCCCCGGGGGCGGGGGAGCGATCGCGCGTGAGCGCTCTGCTGTTCCGCGCGGTGCGCCGCGCGCGTGGCCCGCGTCGGCCACCGCGTCAGGACTCCTGGGTTGTCGTCGCGCGCGACCCCCCCCCCCCGCTTTCTCGGCGTCGCCCAGGTGCCCCTCGACGAGCTCTGGGAGGCCGCGGAGGCGCGCGGAATAATTCGTTGCTGGGCGAGATCGCTGCCCGCGACGCGGCGCGCGAAGGCCGATGCATGGGCGATGCGACGCGTGCGCGCGCGAAGAACCCAGCTCGACGCGATGCGCGAGGAATAGTTCGTTGCTCGGCGAGCGCGCTCCCCGCGACGCGGCGCGCGAAGGCCGCGTCGACGAGGCGCAGCTGCGCCTTCCTCCGGGAGCTTCTCGGCGAGAGGCTCCGGGGGAGGGGGGCTTCTGGGCGGCCGTGGTCGCCCCGCCGCGCTGGCTCCGTGGCGCTTGAGCGCGCCGCGGAGTGACCGCGCGACGGGGCGGCCATATCCGCTGGAAACCCAGGGGGCCATGTCCAGCCTCCGCGGGGCGGCCCCTGGGGAAGGGCACGGGGGCGGCTCCCAGCCCGAAAGGATCGAGGTCGCGCCCGTACCTTTCGCGAAGGACAGTACTGGCGCCATGCCTGGCCTACCGAGGCCATGAACGTCTGCCGCGAGTCTGGGCGAGGGGAGTACCCTGCACTTTCGCGGGCTCTCCCAGAACGCCGCGCCCGGTACTCCGGGAGTTTGCAGATCCCCCCAGAACGCCATTCCTCGCGCTCCGAGGCCAAGGATCTGCGTGAGGGGTGCGTCCTGGGATTTGCGGATCGGGCCAGAACGCCATTCCTGGCGCTCCGAGGGCAAGGATCTGCGTGAGGGGTACGCCAAAATGGGGGGCGGCCGAAGGAGGGACTTTAGGGCGGCGGAAGGGATTTTAGGATTTTAATCTTTATATGCTCTTAGTTTTCAGGGTGTTGCCAAGCGGTGTGGGCGCGCGCACGCATCCCACCCCCGCATCAAGATTGTTGTGGGTGGGACGCTGTGTGCGCGCTCGCGTTGCTTGTCCTCCCTCCCCAATCCACCCCGGCTATTCTCTTTTTGGGTTTAGGGGCGCAGAGAGTTCTTCCCCCCAGCCCCCACTCATGGGGGTGTCGAACACCACGTCGTCCTACCTGAGAACGCGCAGGCGTTGTAACGCATTGAGGAACAGCCTCCAGGCTTAGTTCGCGCGTGCGCGGGAACGCCCGACCGGGCGATCTCTTCCGACTCTCGCAGGAGCGGTTCTGCGCGGTGGCGCGCGCGCAGCGGTTTGCCGGCCAACGAGGTGTCGCACCTTGTGGCCCATGTTACGCTGGCGACACCAGACCCGCGCCTGCGCGCTCTTTTTCGATGCCCAGGCGCGCTGGCGAGCGCATATGGCGATTGAAGTAAACTTACGCAGATGCCTCAATGAAGCGATCATGGTGGGCCACGACAAAGGGGGCCAGCTCGCCGGACGCTCCGCGGCTCGCGCGCGCGCGCGAGGTTCCCGCGCTGACACCGCGTCGTCCTAGAGTCTCCGGGGTTCGTTCGCGCGTTGGGGGACGCCCGACAGGGCGACCTTTTCCGATTCTCGCAGGGGCGATTCTGCGCGGTGGCGCACGCGCAGCGCTTTGTCTCGGATGGTGGTATGGGGGAGCTCGAGGGGGCGGGCCTGGCGCCCCCTCGATGCGACGCGCCAGGCAGCGCGTCGCGTGCGTCAGCCGGCCGGCCGGCCGGCCGTCCGGCCGTCGAGTGTACTCCTTATCTCTGAATTACGTTGGCGACGCCAGAACCGCGCCTGCGCGCTCCTTTTCGGTGCGCAGGCGCGCTGGCGAGCGCATATCGCGATTGGGGTAAAATTACGCATATGCTCCAATCTCAGAGGAGATCATGTTGCGCCGCGAGAACGGGGACCAGTTCGCCGGACGCTCCGCGGCTCGCGCGCGCGCGAGGATCCCGCGCTGGGGACCCCCTGGGAGCGCTTGGGGAGCTTCTGGGACGCGTGGGGGCGCCTGGGGAGCGCCTGGGAGCGCGCCCAGGCGCGCTGGGAGTGCCTGGAGAGCCCCTGGCAGCGTTTTCCTAGGTTTTCTTGGGTTCCTGGGGGATCTGGCGTTCGTCCTGGCGATGGGTTCCGGCTTTGGGGTTTTTATTTCCTGCTACGCAGGTAGCCTGTGGCGTAGCCAGCCTGAGGCGTGGCGTGTGGGCGGTCGAGCTTAACCTCTCCCTTTCCGTAGATCCTTCAGGCGCTCCACTGAACGTTCCGACCAAGGCTCGTATGCGTCTGGGGCATCCCGACAGCGACGCATACTCGAGTTTAGGGTTTAGGGTTTAGGGTTCAGGGTCACGTGCGAGGAGGAGGAGGATGAGGAGGAGGACGACGACGAAGAGGATGAGGATGAGGCTGAGGATCAGGGCGATGAGGATGAGGATGGGGAGGAGGAGGACGATGACGGCGATGACGGTGATGACGGTGATCACGGTGGTGGTGATGGTGATGGTGACGGTTGATGGTGATGGAGATGGTAATGGTGATGGTGGTGGTGGTGATGCTGATGATAATGCGACAAGTGAGGTGGTGGTGGTGGCAAGGTTGATGACGACGAGGATAATGTTGATGCTGCTGCTGATGTTGATGCTGATGCGGATTCTGATGCATGGCAATGGTAGTGTTGGTGTTGATGCTGGTGATGCTGAGGATTTGTTGTTAGCATTACGCCGATAAGGATAACGCGTGGTTATGATACTGCTGCCGCTGCTGCCAGTCATTCTATTGATGGCGATGATGATTATGATGCCGATGATGATGACGATGATGCTAATAAGGTTGACGACGATGATGATGATGATGAGGATGCTGGTGTATATGATGATGATACTGATGATGATGACGATGTGGATGATGATGAGGGTGATGATGATGATGACGACAGTGACGACGACGATACTGACGTTGATGATGATGATGGTGGGCTTGGTGGTGGTGGTGTTGATCCTGATGATGCTGCAACTGATGCTGATAATACTGATGGTTTGATTATGGTTGTTGCTGTTGCGGTTGCCGATGCCGTTGTTGTTGTTGTTGCTGTTGCTGTTGCTGTGGCTGTCATCGTTTGGGTTATTGCCGTTGTTGCGGATGCTGCTCTTGTTGTTGTTCTTGTTGAAGTAGCTGCTCTTGTTGTTATTGTTGGTGCTGTTGTTGTTGCTGTTGCTGCTGTTGCTGCTGCTGTTGTTGGTGTGGTTGGTGGTGGCGCTGTTGCTGTTGCTGTTGCTGTGGTTGTTAGTGTCGTTGTTGTTGTTGCTGGAGTTTGGTTCCCAAATAATGATTACTGTTGATCCTTTTTTTTGTGACCGCATCATGTTTCACCGGCAGTGCTTCTCCCAGGGTTCGCACGCTTTTTTTTCCACAAGGGAGATTGAGAGGTCACCAATCTGGATTGTTGCCCCCTGTTTACGGAAACATTTGCTCCCGCTTGATGCTTTTTCGCAGTTTATTCCTAAATGGCGCTCTCGCGCAGGACTTCCCCACACTGTATGCAGGAGTCGCGCTCTCGCGTGGGACTTCTGTGCAATTTTCTCAGAGGCCGCGCCCTCGACAGTCAGGATTCACGCTTTCGCTGTGGATTTCCTGGCGATTTGTTTGGGAATCGCGCTATCGCTTGAGATTTCCTTGCGGTTTATGCAGTTCTCACGCTGAAAGCCGCCTGCTCGATCTGGCCGCTTGGACCCGCCTTCCCGACCCGCACGTTAGGGTCTACCCTCCAGCTAATACCGTTCTCCATCCTACTCCCTCCCCCTGTCCATTCCTTTCATCCATCCTCTCTTCCCCTGCCGTAGGGGCTGCGCGAAATACACGTTGCAGGTACGACAGATATATACCCCAAAGAGGGTACGATCGAAGACTCAGAGGGCGGGTATCGAGGGTTTGGGATGTGCCTGTTGAATGGCCCCCGC